GCTCTCTGGGTTTTTGGGGGGGGGGTCACCTGCTGTCACCCAACACGCCCCCCCTCCCTCCTTCCAGCTCCCGACTATGACAAGAGCCAGTGGATCAACGAGAAGGAGAAGCTGGGGCTGGACTTCCCCAATGTAGGTGGTCTCGAGCTGGGGGGTGATTATGGTGGGGGGGCCCCGTGGCCCCATGCCCAGGTGGCCCCATGCCTTGATGTCCCCTCCAGCTCCCTTACTTCATCGATGGCACCACCAAGCTGACGCAGAGCAATGCTATCATGCGCTACATCGCTCGCAAGCACAAGATGTGTGAGTGCTGGGGTGGGCTTGGCGTTGGGCTTGGGCTTGGAGTTATTTGGGGTTGGGATTGGGTTTGGGCTTGGGGTTGGGCTTGGAGTTGGGATTGGGATTGGAGTTGGGCTTGGGCTTGGAGTTATTTGGGCTTGGGCTTGGAGTTATTTGGGATTGGTCTTGGGACTGGGGTTATTTGGGCTTGGGACTGGGGTTATTTGGGCTTGGGACTGGGGTTGGGTTTGGGCTTGGAGTTATTTGGGATTGAGATTGGGATTAGAGTTGGGTTGGGCTTGGAGTTATTTGGGGTTGGGATTGGGTTTGGGCTTGGAGTTATTTGGGTTTGGGCTTGGGCTTGGGACTGGAGTTATTTGGGCTTGGGACTGGAGTTGGGTTGGGTTTGGGCTTGGAGTTATTTGAGATTGAGATTGGGATTAGAGTTGTGTTGGGCTTGGAGTTATTTGGGTTTGGGCTTGGGCTTGGGCTTGGAGTTGAGCTTGGGGTTGGGCCTGGAGTTGGGATTGGGTTTGGAATAGAGTTGGGCTTGGGGTTGAAGTTGGGCTTGGGCTTGGAGCCGAGTTAGGCTTGGGTTGGGGTTGGGGTTGGGTTGGGGGGCACCCCCTCAGCGCTGACATCTCCCCACCCCGCAGGCGGTGAGACGGAGGAGGAGATCCTCCGCGTGGACATGCTGGAGAACCAGATCATGGATTTCCGCATGAGCCTGGTGATGGTCTGCTACAACCCCGACTTCGTGAGTGCCCCTGTGCTGTGGGGTTTGGTGACCGTGCCTGTGCCGGGGTCCTCCCTGGCCATGCCTTGGGTTGCATCAACATCGGGGACCCTACATGGAGAAGGTGCTGTCCCCTGGGGTGGGGGGACCAGGGTGCCCAGCCTCACCCCTCCACCCCTTCCTCCTGCAGGAGAAGCTCAAGCCGGGCTACCTGGAGCAGCTCCCGGGGAAGCTGAAGCTCTTCTCCAACTTCTTGGGGGACAGAAAGTGGTTTGCGGGGGAGAAGGTACCACTGGGACCCTGGAGGAGGGTGGGGGGGGCTGGGGAGGTGGCTTGTCCCCACGCTGGTCCTCACCGTGTCCCCCCGCTGTCCCCAGCTCACCTTCGTGGACTTCCTCATGTTCGACGTGCTGGAGCAGAACCGCATCTTCGAGCCCAAGTGCCTGGAGCCCTTCAAGAACCTCAAGGACTTCATGGACCGCTTTGGGGTGAGCTGGGCCACCCCGGGCATTGCCCTCCCCTACCTGGAGAAGGAGCCCGGTCC